TATTTTTCTGCTAATCAGGGATTACATGCAGAGTCTACCACACAAGGGATACACACTGTACCCTTGGAGTCTTCAGAACGTCTACATACAACTTCAAAACACATTTGCAGAAATCACAGAAACAAGTGAGAAAACAATGATTAATTCTCACAAGCCACCTCGCTAAGTTAGGAAACCGATTTAAGCTTTGATCTAAAATAGAAAAAAAACAAGGTCCCCCTGCAACTAAATGAAAATTGCAGTTTCCAACCAAAAAATAAAACAGTAAAAGTGTTTTTTTGGAAAGGGTAAATTTCTTACGCCCAGTCTGAAGAACACAGTGTACAATAAAGAAAAGAATGAGCCAGTATACAAAATATCACCACATTAGTCAACCAACATTCATAGGGGGAAATCTAACTTGGCAGAGATGCATTGTGTCCTTGTCTTTGGCTTTTTTAAACATTCTAAGATTCATTAATTGCTTCTCAAACTGTTGTTTCAATGACTAGTACACTTCTTACAACTCCAGGTGGCAGGAATGGAGGACTTCCAGCACCAATCACACTGTGATCAAATTTTTTTCTTCTTCAAAATAGTCAGTGCAACGCAACTTTGGCACCTTGCCTTACTGTTGACTTGGACCTCAAATTGTACAGCTTAATTTCGCTTGAGCTTAACTGAAGCACATTTATGTGTCAAGGATCTGCCTGTACAATACAGTAGGTACACAATAGCATACAGTCAAGGTTCTTTAAAAAAATGCGCAAGTCTTTCAATGGACAAGACAAGAGTCACGGAGTGGTTCGGGAAGGTTTGAGTAGACCATCCTACCTAGAGGAAGAAGCTAGTGCCGCTGCAGCACTCGCTGCTGAAGCCCTCGTCAGGCACTGAGAGCTGGCTGAAGATGGGCAGCCGCCGACCAGACCCATCTGGACCAGAGGAGTCAGACCCACTGAGGCTGCTGGCTGAGCTGCCACACCCGCCCTCGTGGTCAGACAGGGAGGTGTAGGAGAGGCTCCTGGCCCCAAGAGCAGGCCCACGGGGGGGACTCTGGCTCTGCTGCAGGCCGCAGACGGAGGGGGAAGGCACGGGGGACAGTCCACAGAGGGAACAGCCTGAGTCAGGAGAGGGGAGAAACTGAGACTGGAGATCACGGGCCGGCTCAAAGACACAGTCCACCTCGGAGAAGGCGTGGGAGAGCAGGTCGGTGATGTCAGCTGAGGTGGGAGGGGAGCCTGAAGGCACTAGGAGGTAGGGGTGGGGGAGGGAGGGCTCCAGGGGCTGTGGAGGGGCAGAGGGGAAGCCTGCGAAGCTGAAGCTCTGCCTAAGCAGAGGGGGTCGTCTGGTGCGGGGGGCTTGGGGACCAGGACCAGGCCTGGCGGGGCAGGGGCCCAGGTCGTCCTCGTTGTTATGAACAAAGTGGCAGCGGATGCCGTAAGGACAGAAGCCGATGGTGTGGAAGGTGCGACAAGGCTCCGTCTTGTACTTGGGGTGTCTGTTGAGGTCACGTATTCAGCTCCTGGCATTCCCCTTAGGCACTCT